CCTCAAAATGTCTTCTTCGTTGAAAAAAATTGCAATTTATATGTCTAATTCATTGTTTCTTGTGCTTGTAGCATAAGTGTACATTTCAAAGCACTAAAAACTGTTGTTTCAAGTTTTTCAGTTTTTGATTATTTGCCCACTGTAGGGAATATGCACAACATCACTGCACATCTTCCAAATATTGAAAGGCATGTACATCAAAACCTGGTACAAAAAGTATGCCTGGAGTGGAACTGTGTGCACAAAAGACATCTCATCAGCTAAAAAAACAGACCAGCCATGAAAGGTCTATACTTGAAATGTGTGAACCGCTAAACGTCATCATCCTGCCGGCATTTTAGAGCTAGTTTGAAATCTTAATTCTGGCTTTCCCTAAGTTCTACTTTTACTACTTGGTTTGGCCCATTGTAAAAACATCTAAACTCTTATAATTTTGAAGATCTTTTATTAAATAACAAAGTCAGTTCTTGTGCGTAAACCTCAACATTTAGATTATTTTTTTGATATTATTCAAGTATAATGAAACAGTATAAACGCCTATGTTGACCGTAGGGCAGAAAAAGATATACCTGCGCACGCTTTCTGAGTTCAGATCCCTTCCTGTCATTTTAACTATCAATAGTTGAAAGATGAGTACAATTTTAACATAAATAAATAAAAATAGAAATTTTAAAAAGTCGCAAGATTAGCAATATTGAAAATAGTCAATTTGTTTCTGAGTTATAGAAAAACTTATTTGCATTCCGGAAAACGAATTGCAATATGATTTTTCTGCATGTTAATAAATAGAAACTTTGCCCTTACAAGCAAAACTGTCTAGCTTCGTTACCATTACCACAGCAAAAGGAGAGGTTTAAACAAAACGTGTGGCATTGTGAAGCAAAACAGGGGCCAATCTTCAGGCATTTGCCTCCAATGGATCAGGGAAATTGGACAAAACCTGATTAAGATGGGGTCATTGACCTGGAAGCATGAAGTAATTATTTGTTTCAAACATATTTAAGTCTTTTAAAAAATTATACAAATACAAATGGAAAACTAATTCATATATATCAATGTTTTGTTAAAATAATTATTATTTTTCTTTTTGATAATCGATATAGGCTCTAATTGTATATAAACAGTTATGCAGCCAGAATATTTTTTAACTTTAACTTAAATCTAAGAACCGACTCAATTGTTTAATGTTCATTCTGGCAGTGCATGTAAGTAACGTAATGTATTGTTTGTGGATTTCGATAGTGAGGCTGTGGATTACTGACACTTGAATGAACGTGAATTTTTACGACGTGTTGTAATATAAAATATCATATTGCAGAAAAATATGTTCCCACTCTTAAGTAAGCTCACTTTTGACAAATTTATAGATTTGTAAATAATAGCAAGGCAGTGGTAAAGATTGCCAACTCAATGAAGAGAGGCTTGCAAGGTAACGCGAAAGCAATCTTTTCATTATTCGAAATTTTCTTTTGCAATCTAAAGGTCTGAGTTACTACAATGATGAACCTTCCCAGGATTTAACCATATCCAGGCGGGAATGTACATTGCAAAATACACGCAACGAGCTGCATTGAAGGATTGACAGCATGTGATGAGATTCTAGATGCATAAACATAATGAACTTAATTTAGTGTTTAATTTTGTTATATGTACATTCCATTTGAGATTTGACTGAATTGACAGGTTTAGAAATTTTGTTACCTGAACATCACCTAATTACATATTATTCATTTTCAATTGAGCATGCGATTGCTAATTTGAAATGCAAAAATGCATTGATACTGTTTTTCCTTCAGTAGCTATTAATTTGTTATTACAAAATCAATTTGAAACTTCTAAAATTGGACTATTTATTGTTTGTTTTTGCAAAGAACATTTGTGTCATCAGCAAACAGAACCATTCTTTCGTTTTTAGTAGAAATTGTTGTAGAAAATGCATATTAGCAATAACAAATTACTGTTAATCAATATTCTCAGTAATTTTTAAAAGTTCTAATTCAGGTCCCTGTAAAGTATATACAAGTCTCTTATCAGTCTTCTAATTTAGGTTCATGCACTAAAGTATAACCCAAATAACAATCATAAAAAGGAATCGTAAAAAAATGTTTAACAATTCATAAGTTATGATGTTACAAAACATACCCTTTTCGGAAGGAAAAAGAGCATATCAGATTAAATAATTGAAATAAAATTTCTAAATAGCTATTTTTGGCTTGTTAGTATATGTAAGTACATAAAGTAACAAATAAAAGTTTTAAAACCCACACAGACGAGTATCTTAACTTTAAACCAGGTAAAAACCCCCATAAGTTTCTCTTATAAACTTCTCTAGGGTACAGAAACAGCTTTAACTGTTTTTACTTTCTCGCCCTTGCTTCATAACAATAGAAAGTATTGTAATTGTGCAACGGAAAACTACGAATTTTCGACAGAAAAAAATATTGCCTGTCCCTGGCAACGAAACTGGATCAATCTTGTTCCTAAATGCAGTAAATATCTTCCTCTTTCCGCTGTGTAGTCAGAATCCACGTTTCGTGGGTCCTTAATATCGAAAAACATATTGACGGTCTGACCTTGTGTCCATCCGTTCTCCGTCAATTTGTAGTCAAAGATAGCGCCTAAACCAATTTTCTCCAAAATTTATATTCCTAGATTAATTTTCAGGAACTCGACTCCCTCTGAGTTGGAAAATGATGTTTTTTTGATTTTTGGGATACTTTACATGAAGCTTCGAAAATTGAAAATTTAGAAATAATGGGAGGAAGTATGTATGATGTAGCACCACTAGTTGAAGCGTTATTTACGACATACGAAAACAACGTAATTTTGGGAAAATATTGAAAATGTAATTGATGCTTCATGCAAAGGTCCCAACAAAAATTAAAATATCTATTTCAAACTCGTTCAAACTATTTCAAACGTCGAGATCCTTTGAATTGATTGGAGGGATATCAATTTTGGAGAAAATAGACTGAACGGTTTAGGCGCTAGCTTAACCCATATATTTTTGTACTGACGGAGAGACGGATGGACACAAGAACAGACCGACGTTTTGCCGTCAATAAATTTTTCGGTATCTAGAGTTCACAAAACATGGATTTTGTTTATCCAACGCGTTAGAGGAAGTAATTTACTAGAATACAAATGAAACAAGTTAAATTTTGTTTGTTACCAGGGCCCAGTAATAAGAGTTTTTCTGTCGAAAAATTTCCATTTCCGGTGCATGATACAATACTTTCTCTTTTTATGAAGCAAGGAGAGAAGTAAAAGCCGACACGCATTTAATGTACGTATCAACTACCTGAAACGCAGGACAATCAGCCAGACAAAGAGAAAGTTTCATAGATCGCCGCCAATTTTGATATGAAATGGTTTCACGAATTGTCCTAAGGCTTTGGGAGTGTGGCGTCCTGTCACCTCGCCTTTGGAACACAAAAGCGATGACCAGAACACTCATTCATTTCGGGGAAATGGTACTCGAGGTCATTCATGGCATGGTGTTCCACAAAACGTCGTTCAGCGTGTGTTTAAAAAAAAGCCCTCTCGAAAAAGTATTATTTACGTAAACAGAATATGCGTCATTTCAACCCGACGGATTATTTCTAAGTAACAACAATTTTTTGGCGATTTATGGGAGCTTATTGAATACCTACTCTTCCCTCGAATAGTTTTTTGGAGACAAGCTCGAGGGAGCAATTTCCACTTGTGAGTGGGAAAATCGTGTTAATTTGTGAACAATCTTCGACCGGGCAATCTAATGCTGGCTATCATTAACCTGGAGCTGCCCAAAATGAAACTCGCAGAAGCATCAGTTCATATGGCGTTCCCAGAAATAATCAATAAACTCAATATTTTAATGAATGAATGTTTTGTGTGTTAGTGCCATAGTATCAAGGATAGTCTACAGGATCTTTCCTTTAATTGTATGCGGCTACCTGAAGCATAATATGAAACTATGCTAAAATAATACTTCGAGCATTTCAATAATTCTAGCATTGGAGGAATCTAATACTTTTTTTAGAGCTTGTATTGTGATCAGTGTTACATACCGAAAAGCGGCTGCAAACCGTGGTTGTACTTTAGAATAAAAAAAGGAATAAGTTAATTTAAAGTATTTAATGAATATACACACAGAACACTTGAGTTTATTACAGCACGTTAGTATGCGGCAAGCGATAGTTGCTTCACTCGACAGTTTCACCGAAAACCCGGAGAAACATCGCGACCCCCAGTCCCGTTGAGAGACGCCACGCTAGTGTCCTGACGCGGCAACCGGTTTGAATTTCGCGCCCGAAAGTAATTTTCTTGAAGCTAAAACGCTTTTCGAAAAAAATGGATCTACTATCCTTCGTGAAATACACCAAAGAAAATTGAGTTTTTTTGTTAACGAGGGCTTCCGAACATTTCTAAGTAGAGAATTACGAAGTACATGAAATCTCCTTGACTGTATTAGAACGCGATCTGTCGAATATCTGTGCGTGTACACAATGCGTATACACCATGTGATCAAAAGTATCCGCACCCATCCAAAATGGTGTTATGGTATGGTCGTGTTTTTCATGGAATGGGCTTGAACTCCTTGTTGTTTTGTGTGGCACTATCATGGCACAGGTCTACGTTGATGTTTCAAACACTTTCTTGCTTCCCACTGTTGAAGAGCAATTCGGGGATGGCGATTGAATCTTTCAACACGATCGAGCACCTGCTCATACTGCGCGGCATGTGGCAGAGTGGTTACACGACAACAACATCCCTGTAATGAACTGCACAGTCCATGAGAGTTTTAAACGTCTTTTTGCTTCCCACTTTTGAAGAGCGATTCGGAGATGGTGAATGGATCTTTCATCACGATCGAGCACCTGTTCATACTGCACGGCCTGTAGCGGTGTGTTTACTCGACAATAACACCCCTGTAATGGTCTAGCCTGCACAGAGTCCTGACATGAATCCCACCGAAC